ATGGCACATTTCACCCAAAATGGCAACCGTGGGCACTACCCTAAGTTGTGGCCTGCGGAAAGCTATACAAAGTAGATGAATGAGAAGTAAGAAGAAATTGTTCATCATCTAATCTGTACCTATATAACTCGGCATCGGCTGTAGAATTCGGCATCTGATGACGATATAAAAAAGTTTTTCGTTTTCGCGATTTTCCATTTTTTGGTTTTTAATCACAGTTTGCAGCATTTTCCTCAACCTTACATGTTTCTTTTCTAAAACTCCTTTACGAATCTCTAATCCATTACAGACTAGCTGCCGAAGAGGTGGATCGCATCACACAAGAAGCGCACGATTTTATTGGCATCATTAGTGCAGAACCAGAAACTACTTTGGAAATTGTCGAGCACATACGAGAGCTGGAACGTATCGATGAAAATTTAAATAAACTTTTCGAAGCGGTTGATTATGCGCACGATCTATATATGATAATTAAAGAATTCGAGATACCATGCGATGACGAGCGGCGTGAAGACTACATGGATTGTGAAGATTTGGTAAACCGGGGTAGCGAGCTACTGAAAGAAACACAGGCAAGACGTCCGGATTTCATAAACCAATTAAATCAGCGCATGCTGGCAGATATCGACGTATTGAGAGAGGAAATACACGACATAGCGCTTGGTGTGCAAATTTCCGAATTATTGGATGTAAGTAGCTGAGATAACTGTTAAAATTTCGGTACTAAAGCTACTCCGTTTACATACATATAGATAAATACAGGCAGCAAAAAAGCCAAAGGCATACTGGATGACTTGAATCAGCGACTCAGCGCTTGCAAGGAACGCGTGGAAGAATACATTGGCTATCAAAAGGAATTCAAGGTATGTATTTTGGGAGTTTTGGAAACTTAAATGAAGAGAGCAGCTGCAACTGAAAGACGAATACTAATTGCAGATTGACATTTCACAATTCCTTGAAATGGATGATACATTCCTTGAGATAAGAATGCGCAATAATCTTTGGCAATCGCTGGATGAATGGGATGCAGCTTTGGATAGTTGGGTCAACATGGAATTCAATCAATTGAATGTAGAAGAAATGAATAATCTGAACATGAAAATAATCAAAAATTGCCTGCAATTTGAGAAATATCTACCAGAAAATAACATCGTACCGAAAATGAAATCGTCCGCCGATGAATTTAGAGCAAAGCTACCTGTTATTGGATTCCTGCGCAATCCGCATTTCAAGGCGGTATGTAAGATTATGATCTAGTATACTTGCAAACAAAAAAAAA